TATCTTGCAGTTAGCTTTTTTTAATTACATTCAATGTAAATATCTATTGTGTACAATACTTTAATATACGAAGATAATATCGTTCTTAATGTATTTAATATTGGACCCTACGCTCTTAATACCGTTGCGAATTAGTGTACCGATAGATATAATTGCAACCTCTTTCTCTTTTTCTTTGTGAATGTACAATCCCTAACACATAAATATGCCTCGAGGATTTCCAATTTACCTTTTTTTTCAAGTCTCACTCGTGCTGTATGAAAGAGGCAATAATAAGGGGGATAATGAGCAAAATACTTCTCTACAGCCAGTCGGTCCCGGGCCGTACTACACACCACGACCACTAACACGGGACGAGTCGAGGCGAGACACACACGCAACAAACCACATACACCACAGACTGTGGGCCGTAAACCATACTCCCCGACACATCCTGTTTTAAGTTTGATTGGAGGGCGTGTGTGTGGATCGACTTTTACATGCGAGTTGGTGCGTTGACTTTTTTAATTGGAGTGTGGTGATACTTCTAGCGAGGAAGTGTAAGGTGACGATTTCCGTAGAGGTTGTGTGTGTGCTTCGACTTTTGTAGACCCGGAACGTGTGTGTGGACTTTATGGGGAGGTGTAAGTGTGAACTTGTGGGAGGTGTGTTGACTTTTAATTGGAGTGGTGTTGGGGATGACTTTTGTAAAAATGACTTTCTAAGAGTCCTCCCTTACACGTACACAGTGGGATACACCACTCCCCCCTAAGAATGCGACATTGCCTTCAGAACATTACTTTGCCTTCATTCGTTCTTGTTACCCCGACGTCACCTATGTCATTCCACCGCTATTAAGAGCAGATTCGAGGACAAACCTTAGCGGTAATTTCTTCTCTTACTTTGTCTTCTCTCTCTCCCAAAGAGTTTATCGGAGATTAAAGGAGGGAGGAGTTGAGGAGGGGCCAGGGAGCGTCACTCGGGCCTTTACCTAAAGTCGCCGCGGTACAACTTCCTGTATATTAAAGAGATTTAGGTGTAGCTCCTCGGCCTCGTAGCTCCTCCGAGACCTTCCTCGAGATTCGGCTCCTCTCGGTGACTACCCAGGAGGGTCGCCGAGGACGGCGCCTACGTTAGAAGGCTCTTTGCCACCTCCTCAATGCCTGCCCGAGCTGATAGAGTTCGCGTTGACTTGTCGAGGACGTTACGTAGGGGGACCTATAATAACAATCTTTGACGAAAGTAGCCGCAGCCGCTACAAAGGGTCTCTCTTGCCCGACACTCGAGGCACGTCTTTCGTCTCGTCACACTTTTCATATACAGTCGGTCATATTGCCGGATGGAGAAATAAACGACATCAAACTCTATTAGATTGTTTGGTTCTCTAAGTTATAAATAATGCTTCTGGAAAATCACGAGCGTATTATTTTATGTGTTTGCCGACATCGTCGACTATACGAAATCCTCCGACATCCAACACACCATGTCACACATCCACACACACCATGTCTGCGATGAAAAACCGGGCATTAACGTTTAAGGGGTAAAGTCGCCTGGTCTCTCTCACCCCCCCTATATATATAGGTTCAGACTAACACAATGCAATAATATCTTCTGCTACTCGAGGTATTGAACAAATACTAAGTGACTTTATACATATATATATATTAGCTTATACACACACATGTAACGACGTAACATCGGACAATAACAGAGTAATATAGCGTCGACACTTACCGTAAGTTTCCTTTATATATACAGCTAGTACGTTGTGTTAGACAGGTAGTCTGTCCTCACGACCGACACTGAGGACAGTAGTTAATACCCTTCGCAGACGAATTTTACTGCGAGTCTCTCTCCTCAAGAGTAACGAGATAGGCGGACGAACGAGGGGAGGGAGAGAGGAGCCAAGGGAGGAGTCAGGAGGGCGAGCGTAGAGGACACCCGTCCTGATTCATAGCTCCTTATCCTCCGCTCCTTCCTCAGCTCCTCCCCTTTAATCTCATAACTTCTTGGAGGATTCCAGGTTAAGTCGTACTAAATATCTCCCGTGCGCGTCGGTTTTTTTTTATCCGGACCTGGGACTTGGCTCGTCAGATGTTTGACTCTGCCAGACCAGATACCTCCACAAGAAACAAATGTAGTGGACCGCGTCGAGAACTCCATTCGGATCGTTGGACGAATCGTTGTACGTGTCGACCGTTCTTCGATGTTCGATTGATTGGCTTAACTCGCGTCTTGGCAAGGAAAAAAACAAAATGGTAAAAACTTCACTTAACTATAAGCCGACTTATCCGTTACCGGTTCATTTTATTGACCACTAATTCGACACATTAAGATCGGTTGGTCCAAGACAATCCCGTAATCATCATCAATTGCATTTCATTTATATCCTCATTGCTACATGGAGGTCGGACTAGCGTTTATTCCGATTGGGATGCAGACAACGACAATGCATGTCCATGCACCGAATTACATTCACTTGTACTTGGAAGTTCCGTTTTGAAGTTATTATCTAGATTCCATAATCAAAAACCCTATTATGAACGTATGATTTGATATTTACGGAAGTCCCAAAGATTTTTATATATTCACACCATTTAAGTTGTCACCTAGCGCCGTTCTAAGTGTAAAAACGAACTTTAAAATCACTAACTAAAAAACGAAAGTTGAATGAATATGAAAAAAAATTTTTTCCGGGGCGAAGATACCCGGTGAGTTCAAGTAATCCCTCACGTCGCGAAAGTCAACGCAGGGGTAAGGTCGAGGTACGGAGTTTCCCCCGGAGGTTTCGGGAGGTCACAAACATATTATTTCTGGGAATGGTGGATGGGTTGATGGTGGAGGTAAACGAAGTAGTGTCCGGAACGACTCAATTCCGGACATCCCATTCCCAGACAACTTTCTGTTTACCACTTCTTCTTTCTCAACCCCCTTCTTACATTTCTTCTTCGTATTCGTACTTCTGCATATCGTCTTTTCTATCTACGCCCTATGTGTAAAACTTGAGGTACGTCATACTTAATGTTTCCCCTACATGAAGTGGACGTAGTTGTTGATCGACACTCATCAACCACCCAGAAAGTACATTTCGTCGCCAAAAGTTTCACACTCCGCGCGGAGGGGCCCCCCCGCGGTCTCTCGAAGTCCCCTTCGCGTCGCATTCTTTTCTTATTGCTCTTTGTCACTTTAGATCGATCAATTGAAGTCGATTGAAATACGCTCGCCGTTGTACCTAGCTAAAAATCACTTCAATGGATTTCACTTTCTCAATCGCAGACCGTCTTTTGCAGTCGAAACAAAACTTTATTTTCAACACCGAGTAGTCTGTAAATACTCTCTTTTAGGGATTACAAGCTCACGTTCAATTACGTCGTGTTCTACGGTCGGCGGAATTGGGGAGGGGGCCGGGACCACGCTCGCTCCTTTACACAAACCGCCGCTAAAGTAAACTTGCCCTGCCGCGTAAGCCTGAGTTCAAGACATTATCAGGAAATACAACATATCAACTGGCGTCCAGTACCTCTTATTATTCCATAGGCATCTGGAAACATACTCCGTAGAAATAAATGAATTGTCCAGAAGTCGGTACTATGTATATGTACGCAGGGTCTACGCCCGAACGTATGTGTGTCATAGTGAGGCGTCGGCGTGGGGTAATCATTGCAGGACTACCATATACACGCGCCGTGGATATATAGATGTAGTGAGGAAAGAATGTTACCTTTCAAACGTATATTGTAGCAACGACATTACATGTAAGTGTTGCCAGAGTTAGTAATTGTAACAAGTGAACAATTGTAGTTTTATATCCTTAATATCTAAAGATACTTGTAAGTACAGTTGAATCTTAGTCACATATAGTCGAGGTTGTAGGAGTATATTTGTACTTAGGACAGGATATTTGTTGTGTGGAAAGAAAATCGTTTTCTCATTCCTAAAATTGCATTCGATTGAGGACAGCCGTAGGCTGGACCCTGAACCGAGCAGTCTACAAACTGAGACGGTCTGGTCTATGGAGGTGTTCTTGTTTACATCACCTGGCGCAGCTCTTGAGGTAGCCTAGCAACCTGCTAGCAACATGCACAGCTGCAAGAAGCTAACAAGCTAACTAAACCGAAATTGAGCCAGAACCTTTCCTTTTTTTGTTTTACCATTTATTGAAGTGATTGATATTTCAGGCTGATAGGACAATGGCCAGTTAAATATGGTTGATTAAGCTGTGTAATTCTAGCCAACAGGTCTGTTAGCATTAGTTAGTAGTTAACAGTAAGTAAATATAGGAGTAACTGATGTACTCCAGCCTGATCCAAATAAGGCTAACCTACGTCTGTTGCTGTTTACGTAAGGTACGTTGCTTAATGTAAGTGAACATGAAACTTCAGCAAAACTTTCAATAATAATCTAAGGTATTGAGTTTTTGGGATAATACTTGCATACAAATCTATAAATGCCTTCAGGTTTCTAAAATATATAATGTGTGGTAAATTCAACAGTGGATCCGGCAAAGATTCACATTTTTGCATGATTTTAGTGATTGATTTTTTGCTTTCACTTACTTATACTTTTAATAAATTCAAGTCAAGCTTGGTAGCTAGTTAGTGCTCTTACCTGTGTGCCTCCTCTGCAACCAGACTGTATTAAAACTCGTAAGTACCAGTTCTATCTTTAAACAATTTAAAAGACAAAATCAACTACATTTATTGATATACCAATCTTTATTTTTGGGGCCTCAAAAAAAAAAAAGATTGGTATTTAAAAAATAAACTGAGCCACTCCTAACAGTTAACTTCATATTTCTTTTTGTCTAAAGCAGCGGTTTTCAAAGTGTGAGGCGCGCCTCCCCTGGGGGGCACCAGAGAGCTTCAGGGGAGGCGCAGCGTAAGAAAAGAATAACGAGAAACAGTGAAATCTAGCTAGTTAACTTCAGCTAACTTTATGCGAGCGGCAACATGGATCGATTTTTAGTGAAGTTACCTAAAGTGAGAGAGGAGACAGCGTCTGGCAGAAAACGTCACTTTGTTGGCTGTGGAGACCGAGTTCCCCCACCTCGCCAAAAAGGCTGCAAAAGTGCTCATTCCCTTCGCCTCCGCCTACCTGTGTGAGTTTTCCGCATTTGACTTTGATCAAAAGCAAATACCGATCAAGGCTGCAGCCAGAGCATGATCTGCGTTTATTCCTGTCTACATTGCATCCCCGCATCATCCGCCTGCGCGCATCAAAGACGCAGACTCATTGTTCCCACTAAAGTAGGGGTGAGTGTAATAAGGAGGCAAAGTTGACATTCAGTGTGTTGCCGGGAGAATAATAAGGATTTATCCACAATGTTGAAAATGTTACAAATGTTTTAAAAATATGTTTAAAACATAAAGTTATTGTTTAAAGTTTTAAGGAGGTGACGCTACTCAGCCAATCAAATCGGTGGAGTCAGTGAGTCAGCACGATAGATTCAAACACACACACAGAGACGAGAGAAGAAGAGAGAAACAGTCGGAGTCATTTCAAATGGTGTGCTCAAAAAAGAGAAAGGTAGACAGCAAAAACTGAGCATTTAATTACATTTTCTCTCACTGGACTTCTTTTAAATGCAATTGAATACCCCTGCATTATAGCAACAACAACAATAATAGCAATAATAGCAATAATAATTGGGAGGGGGGGGCGCGGCTGTTCTTATGTTCTCTGAGGGGAGGCTCACCTTCCCACACTTTGAAAACCCCTGATGTAAAGCATTGTGTGTGTCTAGAATCAGATATCAGCTCTCACACGTTCAGGTGACATCACTGTGGGGCAGTATCGAGCGGACAAAATTGAAAAATATCACTCCAAAAGTGGAAAGGCCCTCTGAGATCATACAAGCCCTGAGGAAGTCTCAGCTGCTGCTGTGTGTATACGAGTGTGAACACCCGCTACTCTATGGAATAATTACTGATAAACAGTAAAAGTGGGGTGATTGTTCACTTCAGTCTTTTGCTAGCTAGCAGCGAGCTACATATGGTGGCAGACGGTAGTTATCATGAAGTTGGGTCTACTTTTTAAATAGGTTATGCCTGAAAAAGCCAGATCTGATCTAGTTTCTTCTCAAATGTATTAGTTGTTTTCCTTGTTTTTAAATGTAGATTAGATTGGACTTTTGATGGGGATAACAGATTTGAAGAAGTTGTCTTTTTTATTTTCTAACATTTTATGGAAGAAACAATTTACTCCTTGATTAATTAGATATATTAATTGATTAAGAAAATACTCCAGATCCAGATTTTAGATTTATGTATATTTCTGCAAGTGTGTCATGTAGTGTAACGCATTAAAACAACTTTCACTTTTTACCTTTATTTTCAAACATTGACGCTGTAGCATCTGGAAGTTGGTGTCGCTGTAAGTCAGGTATTTGCGAGTGTGTCTGACATTTCTTTGGACGCGGTTTAATTCCATAGGTAATGCAGCTTTCCTACTGGTTTCAACAGCTAGAGGGACATCAGATACGCAGCAGGTGCTACCCTGAGTCTCTTACCCCCAGTTTCCACTGGGTCCGTCTGCGCCGCGCTGTGCCGCGTCACGGCTGTGCCGCGTCACGGCTGCGCCGCGGTTTTGGTCTAGCGCCATAACCCACCGGACGTGTCCCAGAAGCGTAGCGTTGTGCGTGCAGGCTCGCAGTTTTGTTATTGATTCGGGTTTAATTCGGGTATTAATTAACTTTAAAACATTAATATGTAGTTGTTACCTTCCACTCCACAAACTGCAGCGACTAAAAACCAGGCCTTGTCCTTTCTGATGTTGTCCTTGTAGTAAGCATTGGTTACATCATATAAAATAGTGTGTTTTTCCACTTCCATGATGAAAACCTCGTCGTCCATTGTGCGTATCGTAGTGGAGGTGTTGTGATGAAGGAGGGGGATCTGCTAAATTAGTATATGTGGTGGATGGGCCTGGCCCGGATGCTCACCTTTCCACTTCCTGCGAGGGGGGGCTGCATGCCCGACCTTACCCCCAGTTTCCACCGGGTCCGTCTGCGCCGCACTGCGCCGCACTGCGCCGCGGCGGTCGTGAGGATCGCGGCCACTCTAGTCAATGGGTGCTATTCTACCACACGCGCCACGTTACGGCTCAGACGCGTCCCAGAAGCGGCTCGGCGCAGCGCTTCTCTAAAATTAGGATGAATCCTATTTTTGCNNNNAAATAAAAACAATAAGTGTGGCTTGATATTGAGTAAGAAAAAGCTTTATAGGTTGATAAGCGCTGTGAGAATGGGTCTGCAGAGAGAATTTCGCGCGATCCCAACTGTCTGTTATCAGCCTGCAGCCAGGGAGCAGAAATCAGCAGGGCTGCCTGTGTGTGTGTGTGTGTGTGGATTGGTCAATTTGGACCAATCAGCGGGGGCTTAACGTAACGGCTCCACGGATTGGCCCATTTAGTTCCGGGTACGTGCTTTCGTAAGGACGTACCCGGAAGAATCAAATGGATGATGACGTCATGATGACGTTTCACCAACGAGGCGTTTTGGGGAGGTATTTTCTGTTTTAGTTTTACTCGCTACAGGGTGTACTTTGAGGGTTTTGACTCTGCACACCGTTTACATGCAGAAAAACCTTCATAACACACAAGGGGACGGGTAATAACCGGAAAAGCATGACATGTGACCTTCTAAATTCCACATACCGTTGTTACTAGATATTCACCAGGGAACTACATATATCTAAGTATCTGCTTCTGAAAATAGTCCCTATCAAATGCTCAATATTTCCCTGTTTGAGTATTGTTTGTTAAAAACTAAAGCACCCAGCTGCTAATAGGTTATAAATAACTACAGAGACAGACAGGCTTTACTAACTGGACCAGGCCTAATTTACTATGCTGAGGTCATGGATGTGTGTGTGTGGGTCTGTGCACAGGCCTACATGCTTTCTACTACAGATCACAAATAGCTCGCCCGCGATGCAGCCTCATTGAAGGGAAAAGACAAGGCTTTTTTTGTTTGTTGATGTCAGAGCTGTGACTCCATTTTTTTCCCCACTCCACAATATTCATCACACACACACACACACACACACACACACACACACACACACACACACACACACACACACACACACACACACACACACACAGTCAGCGACATCGGTTAGGATTTTGTCATCAAGTAAGCTGCAAACTTTTCGTTAACACATAACTCTAACTCAAAACCAGGTTATTATTTCATGCTCAAAGCCAGTTTTTGTCCTTTTGCTACTTTTCCTAAAAACAGTATTTTAGTTTCTTTGTCACACAGCAGACTTTATTCTCACATGGGATTATTTTCCTTCTTTTTCTTCTCTCCTGATCATATCTTTGCTCCTCTCATGCAAAGCTCCTTAAACTCTTCCAGGTTGCTTATGGTCACCATGTCTAACCGTCCCGCCCACCCTTTCTGTTCACCAATGGTGGTCCTGCTGATGGGGGCCTGCAGCTGTCTCATAGCTCACCTCCAAAAGGTGCCTGAATGAAGGCCCCTCAACTCTCTCATCATGCCTGTATGCACAAACAACTCCTTCTGCCATTTGTTCAGGAACACACACAAACAACCGCAGCTTCCATGAAGCTTCAGATAAGATTAGAGTGTGATATGATTTGACTGAGACCCCCCACAAACTTTCGTTCCAAACACACTCGAGTGTTAAATCCTGTAACACGACAACAAATCCTGTCTTGATTTAACACTGTTGGCATCCTAAAAATAAAAATAATTATTGTAGTCTTCAGGTAGTTGCTAATGTTCAAAATGTCATATTTAGCTGTGGTCTACCTATTATCTGATTTTGTTGGGTACTAGCTCAGCAAGATGAAGAAACGGCTGAACACATTTGTGTGCCTTCCTATCACACTGCATACAGTATGAGCACATGGTGTATCAGTGTCGCCTTTCCCCCTAACCCCCAGTTTCCACTGGGTCCGTCTGCGCCGCGCTGCGCCGCGTCACGGCTGCGCCGCGCTGCGCCACGTCACGGCGCGTCACGGCTGCGCCGCGGTTTTGGTCTAGCGCCATAACCCACCGGACGCGTCCCAGAAGCGTTTCAGAAGCGTAGCGTCGTGCGTGCAGGCTCGCAGTTTTGTTATTGATTCGGGTTTAATTCGGGTATTAATTAACTTTAAAACATTAATATGTAGTTGTTACCTTCCACTCCACAAACTGCAGCGACTAAAAACCAGGCCTTGTCCTTTCTGATGTTGTCCTTGTAGTAAGCATTGGTTACATCATATAAAAGAGTGTGTTTTTCCACTTCCATGATGAAAACCTCGTCGTCCATTGTGCGTATCGNGTTTGAACCCCAATTCATGCGTCCCGCAAATTGAGACCATGTCACGCATAAAGAGCTCAAGAAGCTAGAGCGAGCAATTCTTTTTTGAGCAAGCATTGATTATGCGTGACATGGTCTCAATTTGCGGGACGCATGAATTGGGGTTCAAACGCTGTGCGTGCACGCGCTATGCGGGACGGGTGGTCACCCTAGTTGGGATCGCGGCAAAATTCTCTCTGCAGACCCATTCTCACAGCGTTTATCAACCTATAAAGCTTTTTCTTACTCAATATCAAGCCACACTTATTGTTTTTATTTCGGCTGTGACTTTGTGTGTGTTCAGGTTGAGTTTGGCTGTGTATCGCTACCAGTGGCGGCCGGCCCATAGGGGCGCTATTGGCGCCGCCCCACCTCTTCCCACATACACATTTTTTTTTTAAATATTAAATTAAAAAATATATATTTAAAAAAATATATATTTAAAAAATATATATATTTTATATTTTTTATTTTTAATGAACAAGGTAAATATCATACAATTGGTATCAGTAAAATGTATAATCTACAATAAAATCTTGTTTAAAATTGTGTTACGATGTCTAAA